TTGGCGGTCGGCAGGCAGGTGTGGGCGGATCCAGAACCTGCAGTTTGTTCGAGGGTGTCTGACGTCATGGATTCAGACGATGGTGCGACCAACTTCGGTTTCTGAAAGGATTAGGCGGAAGGTCTGGTCCGCTACGGATCCCCTGCGCCCTGTCCCAGCATCGTGCCCAGACACCAGGGACAGACACCGGCGCAATCTGCATCGTTGCCCGCTCCTGTATGTTGAGACTTCATCGTTTCGCTCGTTCTGCCAGCCCAGGCGATTCCGTTGTGAGCGTTTGTCCGCGTGGCAGGGTGGTTGTAGTTTCCTTGAAGTGTTGCGTGGGCAGTCATGGGCACGAAGCCAGGTGCTCGCAGACCCAGACAGGATCAACGCAGCGAACACCGCCTTGCTCAGGGTCGATGGTGACATGATCGTGCACGTAGCCGTGTGCGGAGTCATGTTGGCCGTGACGCCATGCTCTGCTGCGTCAGGTATTCCATTCTGCGGCGGGCGTTGGGTTTGAAACGGGGCTGACTGATTTGAAGGGCGTGCGTGCAGCAGATCGGGCACCGCGTATCGCACGCTGCCAGTAAGAGGAAGAAGACGAGCAGGAGGAAAAGGAGAAAAGGGGAATGAGATGAGGAGCTCCTCGGAAATTCCCCAAGGGCCTCTTGAAGGCCTCGTGGGGGAACTGTCTTGCAGCATCGCTGGCACTTGCATGCCACGTGGGTGGTGATGCCATGTTCTGTTGCGTCGGGTATTCCTTACTGAGTCGGCGTTGGGTTTGATATGCGGCTGAACTACGTGGAGGGTGTGAGAGCAGCAGATCGCGGACGCGTGTCGGGCACTAGTTGAGGCTTGGAGGCCTCGTAGGGAGACTGTCATGTAGCATCGCTTGCACTTGCCTGTGGTCGCGGGGACACTTATGAGACCTCCTGGGGCCTTGTGTCACCTCTCGAGGTCTCTTTGGGGGGGAGTCCTGGGGGATTTTGCGGTTTCTTGGAGAGCTGTTCGAAGGTTCTCCTGAGGTCGTTTTGGAGGCCGTGTTGGAGGATTGTCTTGTAGCATCGCTGGCACTTGCCTGCGTCCGTGGGGGCACTCTTGAGGCCCTCTGGGGACCTCCTGGGTCCTCTCTGGGTGTCTTCGGTGTGTCCGGGGGGGCCCACGGGGCCCCTTGGAGGCCCCCCGGTGCCCTCTTGGGGGCTTGCTGGCGGTGTGAGGGGGGGCCATTTGCCGGGAAAGGGTTCGAAATTTCAGTTCGGGTTCCGACTCTTCGGACCCTCTTGACGGGCTTGGGGGCTCCTTGGGCTTTGGGGCCGTCTTTGAGCCTCTCGGGGGCCTCTGCATCGTTGCCCACTCCAGTATGTAGAGATTCTTCCAGTTTCGGATTAGAGCAACCAGGGAGGGTGTGACGCGAGAGCCTGTCGGCGACATCACACATCTCTCAAGCTTCTTTCTCAGCGGGGCTGATCGTGCGCCGGACCAACATGCGCACGTCGTGCATGGGAATCATGACCCATCCGCGACCCTCTTCAGTGCTACAGTCAACCCGCATAGTAAGGATGGGCAACCTTCCCAAGGGCACCCTTGCATCCTTGCCCCTTCGGCCCATCCTTGGCGACATCCTCTGGCCAGCCTCGTTCGAGAAACGTTCAGTTCACATGGGCCTCCAAGGCCTTTCTTTCCTTACCGCGCATCCTTATGATACGGGTCGACGACTGTACGGTCTGTCTGTCATGACCCGCTTCGTCCTGACCACCTGCACCTCTTGGCGGGGAGCGCCTGCCGCCACGAAGGCCCTGGTTGAAAACAGCGCGGGCGTTGTTCACGCGTGATTGGCTCCCTCACGCACTACTGGCGTCGACGAAGAAAAACGCCATGAATATAAACTTTTGGCGCGAGCGCCAAAAGTTTATGTTTATGGCGTTTTTTCTTCTTCTATGGTGGAGGTCCCCGGATTTTCGTCCTTCGTGGCAGCGCCAGGGTGTTTGGACTTATTGCGTCATATTGCAGCGGTCAGCCGCGACTGGCGGGCCAGGAGTTTACGGCTGCTGCGCTACAGGAGTGGTGTGCATCCGACTGGCTGCAGCACTGTGTTTGCAGGGCTGGCAGAGCTTCACACGTTGTCGATTGCCGATGCTGCTGCTGATATCGCGAGCCTCCGGTCTGTTACCAGACCGGCCGCCTCGCACTTTTCTTTTGAGGACGTGGTGCCACGCTTGGTTTACCAGTTTGTCGAAGGCACGAGCCTGCTCGTCCTGCTTGCGAGATGTGCGGGCTCCAGAGTGCAGGCCGGCGGCAGTGCTTCGAGAGCGATGTTTTCTGGCAGCTCTTCCGCAGCTGGCTCGGATCAGATCCTTTTTTCGGGGAAGCGTAAGACTCGAGAACGCCGGAACTCGGGTTCGCCGACGCTTTTTGACGAGCACGCCCTGGATTTTGACGGCCCAGTTTTCATGGGATGTTTGCAGCGGGAGCTCGCGCCAACTTTCAGACCGGGTCTCGTCATTCTCATGATGGCCTCGTCTGGCCCGCCCGAGTCCCCCGAACCCGGCTCCTACGTCTCCCTGATTTTTCACTCGGGCTTCCCGACTCTTACGTCTCCCAACTCTTACGTCTCCCTGTGCGTTTTGTTTTTCTCGAGCGGTTTTATCCTTTCCTTCGCGGTTGTGGATTGGGGGGTCCGTTTGCCGCGGGCCCAGTTTGTTGGGGGGGGCCGCGGTAGGGAATGGACAAGCCAGGGTAGGGCCTCCCTGGTCGCAGCCATGCGTCTTTACTCTCGGGAATGACTTGGTCGACTACGCGTCAAGAGCGACCCTTCGCCAGAGTGGCCTTTGGGGTACGGGCCCGCTGGGGCACCCCCGATCGCCGAGCACGGTGCTGTAATCAGCAGCGTCACGGCGCGCTCGCGTGCCTGGCCCCCCCCCGCGGTCCCCCTATGGGAGCTGCGCAGCAGAGGCCACCTGGAGGGTTTCTCCGAAGGGCTTAGGCGACCCGTCCTCCTCCTCATCCCTCCTCCTCCGCCTCTTCCTCCTCCTCCTCCTCCTCCTCCTCCTCCTCCTCCTCCTCCCTCCTCCCCCTCCTGCTCCCTCCTCCTTCCCCTCCTCCCTCCTCCTCCCTTCTCCTCCACCTCCTCCTCCTCCTCCTTTTCCTCTTCGGGTCGCCTACGGTCCCGTAGGGAACCGTGCAAGGTCACTCTTACCCGTGGCCACTCTTGCGTGTAGTCGACTTGGGTTGAGAAGCGGCGAAGCGTCTTGGTTTGCCTATAGGCCTATCAGGCATGTTCTAAGAACCTTTTGTGGTCTTCACGACATGTTCTTAGAGCATTTCTGGTTTAGACTGTCTTGTTTAAACACGTCGGGTTTCTGTTCTAAGAACATTCTTGTTGTTACAAAAAGATTAGGAGGTTCTAATAATATTTCGTGATAGGCCTATAGGAATGCCGGGACGCTCTGTCCCTGCTCAATTAAAGCTGCGCGCCAAAGGTCACTCCTACCCGGGGCCGCTCTTGCGTGTAGCCGATTGGGGTTGAGATCGAGCCTTGGCCTGTTGCGCACGGCAGCGGCCCGTGCGCTCGTTTCCCGCTACGGCCGGCCGCTTCCATACGGCAGGTTCGCGCCGTGCCGACCCGCGGTGACCCCGCCGCCGGCGCTCACCCTGGGAACGCCGCCGGCGACCCAGGATCTGCCACTGAGGCCGCCTCGGGGTGGGCGCGCATGTCGGCTCTCGACGTGCTTCGAAGGAGAATTGACATGCGGCAGGTTCGCGCCGTGTCGACCGGCGGCGGCCCCGCCGCCGGCGCTCCCCTTGGAATGCCGCCGGCGACCCAGGATCTGCCAATATTCGGGAGCCTTGAGACGGGGGTCAATGCAAACGGGGGTCAGACAGAGCGCCCGATCTTTCAGGATCCTGCAGGGCCAGGGTCGCGCTGACCCGGGTTTGGGTGCAGGACTTTGCAGGATCTTGCGGGATCCTTGGCATTGACCCGGGTTTGGGTGCAGGATCTTGCAGGACCTTGCAGGATTCTGCAAGGTCTGATTGATCCGGCGGACCCCGAGATATGGAACGATCTGGCGATCGAGAAGCAGCCGGTCGTGCAGTCTTGAGCGATGACTGCGGTGTCCGACAAACCAGCGCCGAGGTCGGCAGGAACACGAAGTCGGGCCAGTCCCTCTACGGGAGGAAAACGCAAAAGCAGTCCAAAAATAGCCTGGGGCCGATTGTTTGACTATCTTTGAGGATCTTTTATGATGTTTGGACTTTTTTGTGGTCAACCATGTAAATCGGAGGTTGATAGATCTTCTACCCTGACACGTCGATTAAGGAATTGGCCGTTTTCGGTTCGCGAAAGGGCGTCGCGGCCGTCATTTTGCGGGTCCAGGTCCGTCGGTTTCGGTCATAGGCCGTTTCCACTAAAGGGAGGTTTATTAAAGGGAGGTTTGTCCACCGCCGAATAAAATTTTTGACGCAACCATTGACTCATCTCGCTTGCGCTTGGCGTCTTCAAAGTAGAGCAATTTCTGGAAGCCTGCGGTCTAGATATTCGGCGAACGTTTTTTTTAATACGATTACCAAGCTCATGCCCGACCTGACAGGGCATTGAGGCTGCCGCAGGTGAGGAGCTCGGCCGCACACGCCGTGGGCACCGCCGCGGCGCCCTCTGCGGAGGCCCGCTGTCTCCTGGTGTCCTGGCGGCCTCTCCTGCGGGCCGCCTCGGCCGCGGCGCCGATCTGTGATTCGGTGACCCCTCCTCCACGCTTCGCCCTCGAGCCTCCCAGGAGAAGAACAAGTCGTCGTCGCCGCCTCCTCCTCCTCCTCCTCCTTCTCCTCCTCCTACTCATTCCTCCTCCTGCTCCTGCTCCTTATCCTCCCCCTCCTCCTCCTGCTCCTCCTCCTCCTCCTCCTCCTCCCCCCTCCTTCTGCTCCTCCTCTTCCTCCTGCTACTCATTCCTCCTCCTCCTCCTTCTCCTCCTCCTACGTGCTCCTCCCCCTTCTCGTCGCCCTCTTCCCTCCCCTGCCAGGTCCCGAGGACTGCTCGCGTACGCAGTGTTGCCGGCACCCAGGGTTCCAGTGCTACGCCAAGAACGATTATGCAGGGGCCGCCGCCTTTCAGCCCGCCGCTCCGTCTCGGGCGGGTTGGGCGGGGGGGCCTGAGGCTGGCTAGCGCGCCTTGCTCTGCAAAGTCAATTCCGTATAACCTAGATGGGAGCAGAGGATGGAAGGGAGGGGAGAGGATAGGGGGGGGAGGAGGAGGAGGAGGAGGAGGAGGAGGAGGAGGAGGAGGAGGAGGAGGAGGCGGAGGAGGAGGAGGAGGAGGAGGAGGAGGAGGAGGAGAAGCAGCAGGTGTTGAGGTGCTCCTCCCCTCCTCCCCATCCTTATCATCCTGCCTCTCCCCCTGCTTCTCCTCTTCCATAGCACGTCGCGATTGCCAAACCACACCAAAACGTTCCTTATCGTCCGCTTTTCTCCGCTTCCTCCTCCTCCTCCTCAGTTAGACTCGGTGTCGGCATCAGTCGTTTTGATGCCATTTCTTCAACAACACATCGCAAAGTATTGCACCACAAGCTCGGGCATACATTCTTTCCACTGGCTCAACAGGCAACACATACATATGAATGCTCTGGAGCTTATTCGAATCCGTACGCCGAGCCCATTCGGCCCACCCGAAGGAATCTTTCGGAATGCTACGGCATCCTTGGCGGGAATTCCCATTGATCTTTCGGATCTCCTCAGTATTCTATCGAAATGAAGGAATCCTCAGGGATCCTGCGGGTTTTCAGCGCTTCAATGGATTCCTTAGGATTCTACGGAATCCGCAGGAAGCCGTCGGACTTTCAAGTCGTCCTAAGGAGTTATTCTGATTCTCATGCGACTCCGTACGTCGATCCCGTTCGCCCCCTCGCCCCCGCCGACGGAAATCCTCCGTGATTCCTGAGGATCCCCAGGAATTCCAAGTGATCCTTAGGATACCTAGTAATCCGCCGCCCCCTGTCGATTCGTCGCAGGGGTGCCTGGCGTGCTAGACGATTTCGGTTTTGGTTTTGGTTCTTTTTCTGAAAGAACTCCCCCTGGGGCTTCGGCCCGTCCCGCCGGGGTCCTGGGAGGATTGCCCAGGGAGCTCAATCCCGGAACAAATCCTCCAAGATGGTCCAAGTGGCCTCCAAGATGGCCACGTTGGCCCAAGATGGCCTCCAAGATGGTCCAAGATGGCCTCCAAGACGGTCCAAGAAAGGAGGAGATGCCTCCAAGTCCGCCCAAGAAACCGCCAAGACGGCCCAAGACGGCCCAAGAGGTGCCCAAGAGGCCTCCAAGACGGCCAAAGAGGTCTCCGGGAGGTCCTCCAGGAGTGCCCGAAGAGGCTCAAATCATTGATTCTCCTTGGGCTTGTAAAGGTTTTTCGTACTTGCTTCTTTTCGGCTTTCCGACCACCCAAGACGGCCCAAGACGCCCCCAAGATCGCCCCCAGAGCGCCCAAGAGGCCTCTAATATGGCCTCAGGACTGCCCAAGAGGCCCTCAAGACGGCCCCAAGAGGGCGCAAAAACGACCCAAGAGGCCTCCAAGACGCCCAAGATGGCCTCTACGACGGCCCTGGAGCACCCGAAGAGGGCCCCCAGTCGGCCCAGAGAGGCTCCCCAAACGGCCTCCGACGGCGTCAGACGGGCCAGGAGCCCACCAAGACGGCCCAAGACGGCCCAAGTTGGTTCGAAGCTGGCCCAAGACGGCCCAAGAGGCCTCCAGGAGCGCCTCCAGGAAGGCCAGAAGGATTTTGACATTTGCTTCTTTTCGGCCTTCGACGGCCCGAGACGGCCCAAGAGCCCCCAAAGATCGCCCAAAGATCGCCCAAGAGGCCTCCAAGATGGCCCCAGAACTGCCCAAGATGCCCCCAAGACGGCCCCAACAGACCCCCAAGACGGCCCAGGAGGCCTTTACGACGCCCAAGATGGCCTCCAAGACGGCCCTGGAGCATTTCAACAGGGCCCCAAGTCGGCCCAGAGGCCCCCAAAACGGCTTCCGACGGTGTCAGACGGGCCAGGAGCCCACCAAGACGGCCGAAGATGGCCCTAAGATGGCCCAAGACGGCCCAAGAGGCCTCAAAGAGGGCCTCCAGGAAAGCCCGAAAAATGCCAACATCATTGGTTTCCCATGAGTTTTTGAAGGATCGTGGCATTTGCTCTTTTTCGGCCTTCCGACGGCCCGAGTGCCACCAAAGATCGCCCAAGAGACCCAGACGGCCCCAAGAGGCTCCCAAGACGGCCCAAGAGGCCTCCACGACGCTCAAGATGGCCTCCAAGACGGCCCAAGAGCCCTCCAACACGTCTTCCAAGAAGGCCCGAAAGAATCAAAATGGCCTCCAGACGGCCAAGATGACCTTGAAGGTGCCCGCGGGTTCCCCGAAGGCTTTCCAAACCCATTCGGGGAACACATGGTCCGATAGCTTGGCAGGTCTGGCCTCAACGCTCGACCACATAGGCGCTTCCAAAAAGGCAGGCGGCGGCGGTGATTCGCCGTAGGCGTCTTCGATCTAACGAACCTGAGGGACCCACAGGGATCCATGATCCTGATGCTTCTCGGGGATCCAAGGGGATCCTGAGGATTCTACGGAATCCTGAGGGGTCCTTTCTGGAATCCCTTATCTTCAAGGGTGTTCTCCTAACTCTTTGGTTATCAGTCAGAACCTGTAGGAATCACGAGGGGCCCGACTACTACACTTGAGTGCTCAGGAGGTCACGCGTATCCGTACAACGAGCCCCTTCGCCCTCCTCCCCTCCTCCACCTGCAAAGGGTTCGGAGAGCGGTCCAGAATAGACCGTCCGGAAGGCTGTTTTCCTGCAGGGCGATCCTCCAGCATCAAGTCGTGCCTGTCTCTCTTGCCACAGGAAGAATCTTCAAAAACAGTCAAACAGTAGTCCAGGGACGAGTTTTCCCCATTTTGGCGCATTTTTTGGGGGTATTGTTGTAGCATTTCTAAGTTTTCGTCCAACATCGACCTGTAGGGGGACAGGCCCGACCTAACTCTGGGGGCGAGTTTCGATTCTTTTCAAGCACTTTTGGGGCAGTTGCGTATTTTTCTAAGCTTTCGCCCAGCCATCGGCCTGTAAGGGGGGAAAGAGGCCTGACCTAACTCTCGCTGGCACCCTCGACGGGCCGCGTGCTCCCCTCCCCTCCGCCCCAGGGGCGGCCGCTATAGAGGGTGGCCGCAGGGTTCCAAAAAGGGGGGGTTGGGGAGGAGGAGGAGGAGGAGGAGGAGGAGGAGGAGGAGGAGGAGGAGGAGGAGGAGGAGGAGGAGGAGGAGGAGGAGGAGGAGGAGGAGGAGGAGGGAGGAGAGGGGGAGGAGGAGGAGGAGGAGGAGGAGGAGGAGAGGAGGAGGAGGAGGAGGAGGAGGAGGAGGAGGAGGAGGAGGAGGAGGCGGAGGAGGAGGAGGAGGAGGAGGAGGAGGGGGGAGGGGGAGGGGGAGGAGGAGGAGGAGGGAGGAGGGGGGGGGAGGGGGAGGGGAGGGGAGGAGGAGGAGAGAGGGGATTTTCCAGGAGGGGTGCCGCGGCTGGGCCTCTCGATTTGCTTTCGCGGGCCGGACCGCTCCCCCCCGCCCCCCCCCATCCCGGAGGGTTCCAAAGGGGGCTCAGGGGCTTCGCGCCCTGCTGTTTTGGCAAGGCTCCGAGGCCCCTGGGGGGGGGGGGCTCTCTGGAGAACCCCCTCGTCCCCCCAAACCCCCTCTAGAACCCTCCTGGATCGGGTGAGGGGGGGAGGCGGTCCGGCCCGCGATGATCAGATCGAGAGGCCCAGCCGCGCCCGCCAGCCCCGTGCTTCCCGATCTCCACAGGCCTGGTCGCAGCAAAACATCTCGTCGGGAGTTGTTCGGCCGTTGTCGGCCGCCTGGGGCCCTCGCTGGGCCACGGGGCCGTCAGAAAAAGCGGCTGGAGATGAGAGGCCGGGTCTGGGGAAGCGGGTATGCAGCGGAGACGCAGGCCAAGAAACAACCTGCTTGCCCCCAGGGTGCCCTGGGTGTCTTGGGTTCGCTTGTGTTGCCATGGAGAGCGTGGCGCTCCCAGACCAAGCATCAGTGGACGTCCTGCGGTCTCATGGCTTGGTTTCTTGTGGAAGGTTGCTTGTGGTCGATCTCCTGCGGTGTAGGCCTCCCTGGGTCCACGTCGTGGGACACATCGCGGTCTCGAAGGCCTGGAGAAGAAGCATCGGAGGTCGGGGCCCCCCTCTTTCCTTTTTTTCCCTCCTCCTCCTCCTCCTCCTCCTCCTCCTCCTCCTCCTCTTCCCTCTCCTCCTCCTGCTCCTCCTCCTCCTCCTCCTTTTTTTCCCGGCGGTCGCCTGCCCTGTGCGACGGGACAGCAGCTCGGGACGCTGGGGGCCCGTGAGGTGGCCAGTCCTGCGGGGGGGACAGAACCCCCGCCCTGACACGTCGATTGGTGAATCGTCCGTTTTCGGTTCTGGAGAGGGCGCCGCGGCCGTCCTCTTTCAGGCTTGCGCCCGCCAGGTTTGGGCCTGAGGTGTTTTTCGATAAACCACGTTTTACTACAGGGTGGTCTGTCCAGAGATCTTTCTACACACGTGGGGCGCTCCCCCGACAGTCTGGGCGAGATCTTTCTACACACGTGGGGCGCTCCAAAAAAAAGCCCTGCCTTCGAGGATCGAAGGGGCTGCCGCATCTTCCGCGGCGGAAGGCTCGCGGAACGGCGGCGGAAGAGCGGCGGAAGGGCGGCGGAAGCAAAACGGGGCCGCTTCCGGCGGCGGAAGGGCGGCGGGCGGGCGGCGGACGTAAAAAGCGGGGCCGCTTCCGCCGGCGGACGGAAGGCCGGCGGCAGAGCGGCGGAAGCAAAGCGGGGCCGCTCACGCCGGCGAAAGGCCGGCGGACGGGCGGCGGAAGCAAAGCGGGGCCGCGGCCGCCGGCGGAAGGCCGGCGGAAGGCCGGCGAAAGGATAGGAAGTTGTCCTCCTACCCAGACCCCCGACGTAATGATTTTTTCATTACGTCGACCTCCAGTGGTCCCGACCCTTTCCCCATGACCGGCTTTGCATCCTGAGTCGTTTTTTGACGCTCCCGAGGCCCGGTGAGGGCCCCCAGAGGCTGAAAAGTAGGAAAAA